CTTCTCGGATTATTTGCTCAGCATACAGGTTGAAATTGAAGGAGCTCTGGTAGTTAGTGGTTACGAATGGGGCTGCGAACCTTAAGGTCAGTGGTTCGAAACTACCAGCCACGCCACGGGAGAAAGATGAGGCTTTCTACTCCCATAAAGATTTACACCCTTGGAAATCCTGTACAGGGTCGCTATGGGTCGGAACCGACTCGACAGCAATTAACAACAACAGGTTGAATAAGTATGGTGAAAATACAACCTTGTTGCACATCTTTCTTAATTTTAAACCACTTAGTGTTCCCATGTTCTGTTCGAACAACTGCATCTTGGTCCACGTACAGATTCCTCATGAGCACAATTAAGCGTTCTGGAATACTCATACTTCGCCAAGTTGTCTATAGCTTGTCATGATCCACACAATCGAAAGGTTTTGTGTAGTCAATAAAGCACAGATAAACATCTTTCTGATATTCTCTGCTTTCAGCTAAGATCCATCAGCAATGATATCCTTCAGCAATGATAGCCTTCATTCCACGAACTCTTCTGAATCCAGCTTGAACCTCTGGAAGTTCTCTGTCAATGTATGCTTGCAGCCGTTTCTGTATTACCTTTGGTAAAACTTTACTGACATGGAATATCAAAGAGATTGTCCATTGTTTTCCACATTCCATTAGGTCACCTCTCTCTGGAATGGGCACAAATATGGATCTCTTTCAATCAGTCGGCCAGATAGCTGTCTTCCAAATGCCTGGTGCCTTGTTCTTTGCCAATTCCTTCAATGCACCTTGGACTTCCTCCTTCCTCTTGATCATATGCTACCTCTTGAAATGGTTGAACATTAACCATTTCCTTTTGGTACAGTGACTCTGTGTATTCCTTCCATATTCTTTTGATGCTTTCTGCATCATTCAATAATATGCCCAGAGAATCTTTCAATAACGAAAGTCGAGGCTTGAGTTTTTTCTTCAGTTCCCCCAGCTTGAGAAATGCCGAGTGTGTTCTTCCTTTTTGGTTTTCTGATTCCAGATCTTTGCATATTTTGTTGTAATATTTGACTTTATCTTTTTGAGCTGATCTTTGAAATTTTCTGTTCAGCTCCTATACTTCATAATTTCTTCCATTTGCTTTAGCATCTCTATGCTGGAGAGCAAGTTTCAGTGTCTCTTCTGACCTCCATGTTGGCCTTTGCCTTCTTAATGACTTTTTGCTTTTATTGTTATTACTGATATTGCAAGATGGAATGCTGTTGTTGTTGTAATGTGCCGTGGAGTTGGTTCCAACTCATAGTGTCCCTGGATGGGGTTTCTGAGGCTGTAAATCTTTACGGGCGCAGAAAACTATCATGGAACAACTGGTAGTTTTGAACTACTGACCTTGAGGTTTGCAGCCCGATTCATAACCACTACGCTACCAGATTGAATAGGTAGTAGTATTCATCTTTGTTGACTTAAGCGCTTGTGCTCCTTCCAGTGTCTTCCTTTGCTGTGATCATTTTGTGCTATCTTCTCCTATTGCCTACTGCCTTTCCCTGCAGCCAAGTTAATGTGTTTCCACCCGCTAGTAGGTGCTGTGGAGTCCTGATGTGGTGCTGTGCGTTAATGCGTTCGATTCCAAAGTTGGTTTGAACCTCAAGGTTCCAGCTTCACTAGAACGTCCTAGGTAGTGTGATGTTTCCAGAGTGAGAGGATAGGTCATTTCCCCAGTACCTAGCAGATGGACATGAACAGACATTTCACATAAGAAGCATTCAATTTGCCAGCAAACACATAAAGAAATGCTTGTAATCATTAGCCACTACAAACCCAAGCCCACTGCCATTGAGTCCATTCAGACTCATAACAACCTTATAGGATAAAATAGAACTGCTCTATGGGATTTCTGAGACTGTAAACCTTTATGAGAACAGGTAGCCTCAACTTTCTCTGCTGCAGCAGCTGGTGGGTTTGAACCACCAACTTTGCAGTTAGCAGCCCTATGATTAGCCTACTATGCCACCCAGACTCTTTCATTAACCATTAGAAAGATGCAAATCAAAACAACAATGAGATATCATCTCAGGCCAGCATTAAGAGCAAAGTTCAAAAAAAACCCCAGAAGGATGTGGATAGGAACCTTCTTCATACACTGTTGTTATTGTTGTTAAGTGTCCTCAAGTCAGTTCCAACTCATAGCAACTCTGCATAAGGTTTCCGAGACATGCCTAGTGGGTCTGTACTACTGACCTTGTGGTTAGCAGTCCAGTGCTTATCCTACAGTGCCACACCAGGACGCCATACACTGAGGATGGTACTGTAAAATGGTGCAATCACAGTAAAAAATAAATTAAAAACTTGCTCCTCCTTAAGAAATTGAAAATCAAATCACCACTGTTGTTGTTAAGTGCCACTGAGTCAGTTCCAACCCATAGCACCTTTGAAACACCATGTGATCTATCAATTCTACTAGGTATATATTATCCAGAAAAATAAGAACCATAATATAAACAGATATGCACACACCCATGTTCTTTGTGGAGTTCTGGTGTGCCGTTGTAGGATAAGCACTGGACTGCTAACCACAAGGTCACCGATTCAAACCCACCAGTCACTACTTGGAAACCTTATACAGTGTTACTATGAGTTCGAATGACTCGGTGACAGCAACAACAACAAAAAATTTTTGTAGCATTAGTCCTAATAGCAAAAAGAAACAACCTAAGTGTTTATCAACCATGAATGGATAAACAAACCATGATACACAATGGTACTATGCAATAAAGAATTAATATTGAAATTCCAAAATGCCTCATAACATGTATGAATCTAAAGGACACTATGCAGAGTGAAATTAGCCAATTCAAAAGAACAAATATTGTTTAAGATCATTACTATAAAAAGTAAAAAAAGAAGTTTATACAAAGAGACACAAATCTTAAACACATAATGGTGAGCAAAAATAGCCAAATACAATAGAATACATACTTATTATTCCAACTCTATCAAGTTAAAAAAATGAGGAGGATTAATCAGTATCATCTACAACTAGCTATCATAGATAAAAGGCAAGGAAGGAAACACATAACCAGTAGAGTATTTAAAACAAAATAACAGGAAGAGGGTTAAGATCAGGAAGAAAAGGCAAGGGATTTCAGAGATATTGGGTATGTTCTATTCCTCCACCAAGCTAGGGTTACACTTGTGTTGATTTTCAACAGTTTATTAAATTGCACATTACATTATCTGTAGCTTTGTATATTTATATTTCCTGCTTTTAAAAAATTTATTTTTTAAAAAAGTAAAATCTGTTGTTAAGTGCCAGTAAGTCAGTTCTGACCCCACAGTGACTCTATACAGTGTTTCTGAGGAGTAGCTGGTGAGCTTGAACCACTGGCCTTGCAGTTCAAACTGACTTTGCAGTCCAGCACATTAACCCACAGCGCACACCAGGACTCCAAAAAAAAAAAAAAAAAAA